TGGCAGTTAAGGGATGAGGACAACGGGGAGAGGAGCGGCCCATGTGGTGGGAAAGTTGGGGCAGGGAGGGTGGCAGCTGCAAGTAAGTGGGACCTGGGTCGAGGGTAGTAGGTCTGGGCATCTTTGGGAAGTGGGAGGTCAGCAGAGACCTTGGATTCCCTCCCTTGGTGTTTTTCTGCTCAGCTTCTTAATACTGACTCTGGGAAAAGTAACTCGACTCCAGTCAGCACTGGGAGGGTTGGTATGGGAGGGTGTACTGATGGTGGTAAGCAGCCCCTTTCCTCACAGGGTCCTGCTCACAGACATTGCAGCCCCGAGGAGTCCTCCCTCAAGAGGCTGTTGGGGGGACGCTGTGTGTGGGGCAGGCCCTGCTGGTCCTGATCACCCAGACGTGCTTTTGAATCGGCAGGTGGCCTTTAAGACTATAAAATGCTCAAAGCTGGAATTATTGTGTCACCAATGACGGTTGAAGCGCTCACGATTTTGTATTTGTTGTATCTATTACTAGGATTCCACCACTGTACCTCCCCTACAAGGGACCGTCAGAGACTCGGACATCCCAGCTAGCAGGCAAAGCGGGCAGGGGGAGCTCTCCCTGCCCCGGAAGCTCCCAGGCCGAGCCGCCCTCCCAGGCCCTAGCACCCAGGCAGCCGATCAGCATCCCGGGCCTGCTGCAGAGGCAGTGTTCAGGGAAGTGTCCCACCAACTCTGAAAAGTAAAACCTTCCCTTGGAAAAGTGCATGTATAAGAGAAAATGTTTAAATGAACGTGTGACACGAGCAGACACAGAACTTTAAATATTCTTGAGAATTGTGTTTCAGAGCTTTTCATTAGTAGTTCAGAAATTCAGTCATGTTCACTTTTGTATTCAGTGTGGACTTTTAAATTATGACTTAAATACGTTAATGATACTCTAAAAGCACTGATGTAACTCCTGTATTTTGAAACATACATGTTAAAATGATGAACTCTTTCCCCCAACTAACTTTTCTTATTTGACATTGTGTGCTCGTTTTCTTCAGCACTGTAAAATT